TCATTGCTAATATATATCTATTTTAAAAATAAATAAAAGAGATTAAATATTTATTAATATGCTTTTAAAAATATGAAAATTAAATACTGCTGGGGGTGGGGTGGGTTCAATACCGACTCCATCTTGACCGTGGTCACGGTGACTGGTTTGCACCTCACATTAAAATCATCATGTGTCATTTCCACCCCCACCAACGTTGGGGTAGGGTGTAAATATTGAGAATGTCGAGTTTAACGCGAATTCATAAATTATTATTATTATTATTATTTTCTTTGATTTCTGGCGTTTACACATTTCTTTAAAAATGGCATCATGACACTTTCAACTGACAAAAAAAAATTATATATTATTATTATTATTATTATTTCTTTGGGTTTCTGTTATCTACACATTTCCTTCCGGGTCTCAACTAGAAACCTAAGGTCAGAAATAATTTCATGACATTATCCACTGATCTCTTTGTAATATGTGAGCGGTACTTGTGTGTAAAATTTCTTCTTCTTCTTCTTCTTCTTCTTCTTATTATTATTATTATTATTATTATTATTATTATTATTATTATTATTTATTATTATTATTATTTTATTATTACTATTATTATATTATTATTTTATTATTATTTTATTATTATTTATTGTTATTATTTTATTATTATTATTATTTTAGCATTATTTACTATTATTATTTTTTTATTATTATTTTATTACTATTATTATTATGATTATGATTTTATTATTACTATTTATTATTATTATATTATTATATTTTTAGCATTATTTATTATTATTATTATTTTATTACTATTACTATGATTATGGTTTTATTATTACTATTAATTCTTCTTCTTCTTTTTATTATTATTATTTTACTATTTCTTTTACTTTCTTTTTTAACCTTTCAAATGTATTCGACTTCATTTTTTTCTTTGCTTTTTCTATTGTTGGAATCGACTCTTTTGTGATTCCACCGGTCACACTCGATCCCCGAATATCGACTTACTTTAGACACGTGTTCTCATTTATCGTTTCCGAGTATAGATGTGCCTTCCCGACGACTCTGCTTCATTAATTATTTATGAAATGAAGACGTAGAAAAAACCTCAGCCACAAGCAGACTGACAGACAACCCAAAAGACAAGCACACGGGCTCAAAGACATGCATATTTATGTAGTCACTGCAGGAAATGATTAAAGCAAGCTGACATTGTCACTAAGTAAAGAAATCCTGGCTTCCACAAGAACTCATGCAAAAGAGCCATAAAAAGACGTCCAAAATGTCGCAGAAATTAAACACATTTGTATAGAAATTTTCCAACAACTCAAAAAGAAAATTATACGAAAAGTATTCATGAACAGTCACCCAAGAAAATTCCTGAATGTTACGTACACAACAAAAAACGGATTCATTGAAACTAGCTAAATTCTTGATTGTCACCGCCATTGTTCCGGGAATGGTATGGAAGCTTCAACATGCTGTACCCAGTTATCTTATACTTCCTCGAAAAAGAGGAAAGAAGTGGCGAGATAAATGTTAGTGGTGAAATTATCCATGCAGGAAATATTCAACATTCTTTGATTAAACTGTTCGCGTTAATGTCGGTTGAAATTTATGAAATCTTTCCCTTAAAAGGAAAATGAATTTCTCAAGTCCTTTTTATCACTCTTTTTCGTGCTTTACAGAAAAAAAAATTATCGTTAGTAACAAATAAAAGAGTACTAAACTGTTATGTAATATCAGTCCTCCTATATAGCGGAAAATGCTGGACAATTTTCTCACAGATGAAGAAGAGACTGAAAGCAACAAAAATATGGTTCTACAGGAGGATTCTGAGAATGGACTGAACATGTGAACAACGACGAAATTCAAGAGGCAATGGTAAGGAAAAGGGCACTTATGCTTAACATCAGGAAGGAACAGTTGAAATTTCTGGTGCATATAGTAAGGAAAGAGGGTTTGGAAAATTTAACACTGACAGGACAGATTGATGGTAACAGGGTCGAAGGAGAACAACGCACAACCTTACCTGCGAGCTTGAGAGAATGGATGGCGGAACAGGGTTTGGGAAGGAGGGAAAAACGATAAAATTTATTAAGAACTACAAAGAACAGGAAATTGTGAAGAGCTATGATCGCCAACGTCGTGAAAGGACACGGCGCAGAGAAGAATAAGAAGAAGAAGAAGAAGGAGGAGGAGGAGAAGAAGAAGAAGAAGAAGAAAAAAAAAGGAGGAGGAGGAGGAGAAGAAGAAGAAGAAGAAGAAGAAGGAGAAGAAGAAGAAGAAGAAGAAGAAGAAGAAGAAGAAGAAGAAGAAGAAGAAGGAGGAGGAGGAGGAGAAGAAGAAGAAGAAGAAGAAGAAGGAGGAGGAGGAGGAGAAGAAGAAGAAAAAGAAGGAGAAGAAGAAGAAGAAGAATAAGAAGAAGGAGGAGGAGGAGGAGAAGAAGAAGAAGAAGAAGAAGAAGATGTGGAAAGTTAATATCTCGATTACATGAATATTTGCTCCGTTCTTATTCCTTATTTTTCTTTTTTTTTTACTAATAAGTTTTCTATGTCGCCTCGCCTTTTTTCTTTTTTGTCTTTTTATCTTCCATCATCATTTTCCCTTCATGTGCTATTCATTTTAGTTGTTGCTGCTGTTGGAAGTCTTCAAGTTTTGTCGTTTTGGCTATTTGGTAAAGTTCTTTGTGATTTTTAAGCACAAGTCTATAGGGTCTGATGAAGAATTGTCTTCTTTAAAATCTAAAGGAGTCATTTTTAATAATTTAGCTGAGAAAACGGTCGTATGTAGATAACAGTTTAGACAGTTCTGAATAAGTTGGACGCCAATTCAGGCCAAGCAGGAGAAAAAGAAAGAATTACAATATAGAAATATGCAATTTTAAATTAGATTCATTTTTAATTATTCTGATTTGAAAAGCTGAAGAGCAAAAAAAAAAAAAAAAAAAAAAAAAAATCGTGAAGAAAAAGCAAGTTGTTTTCTAATATTCTTTAAATTCCGTGTTCTTAGTAAAACGTTTTTTACTGACGTAAATTGGAAGAATTCTATTGAATAAATTTCTTGGTCTGTTGCTAGGAAAGTTGGTTCCCTGTGTTGTGTTAGACAATTTTTCTCGACAGAATCTGTCTTACACATTTATAACCCTACCATTCATCTATGCATTGAAGATTGCCTGTCATATTTAGTCTGGTGCTTCTCTTATGTATTTAGATATTGTTGATAAAATCAAATAAGAATCTGCAATGTTATCAGTCCAGATCTGGCATCTCGGTTTTAGGATATTTCTCACTACTGTAATGTAGCTTTCCTGTTCTTTTTTCCATACATATTTTCATGGCATTTGTTAACCACGAAGAGAGTGTCTAAGGCTAACATTTATCACTGACAAGAAGTGGAAAGATTATATTGAATTAATTGCCAAGTCTGTTGTTAGGAAAACTTGGTTCACTTTGTCGTGCTCGAATAAATTTTACACTTTTATTGCCAGAATAAATCTTACACTTTTATAAGTTTACCATTCACCCGTGAATCGAATATTGTTGCCAAATCTGATCTTGTTCTTCTCTTGTATATCTGGAGATTCTTGAAAAACTCCAAAGAAGAATCTGCAATATTATCGGTCCTGACCTGGCATTTCGGCTTCAGTCGCTTTCCCACCGCCGTAACACAGCTTCTCTATGCCTTTTCTATAAATAATTCTACGGTAGTTATTCTGGTGAGTTTTCGTGTTTAATACCTCGGCTTCACGAAATTGCGCGATGTAACCGTAAGTTCTATGCAAATAGTTTCTTCTCTCGCCCCCTCTCGTTTATGGAATTCTTTTTTAGCCTCTTGCTTTCTTGTCAACTACGATCTTCAAAAGTTTAAATGCAACGTCAATCGTCGTCGTTTGTTTCCTTGAATCCGGTTCGTCTACTGTCCTCTCTCATCTTCTTTCACTCTCAGTCACCCCTTGCTTCCAAGTAGCCCTTATTGCCTTGCTTGGGGTTAAAAGTATTTCTTTTTTTAAAACCATTATTTAAACTAATGTCATTTCTCCTGTTTAAACTGGTATGAGAATGAGAAATTGAACAGAAGCAGTACGTTACGTGATACTTCCAAGTTAGAGAAGACCTGCCTGTTTGGAAGCTCTTACTGTTTTAATTTATTTTTTCAAATTAAACCTCTGTTTGAATATTAAGCCGTGGACTCTGTCTTAGCCATGAGTAGGCCACTTGTCTCTCTCCTCGCTGTTTTTATGCAACCTGTTGACAGATACATTCATCAGCCTCTCTCAGCTAATGTTTGGTATTTAAAATTCCTTTGGTGATTCGTATTCATTTTCTCTTTTTTTCTTACTTCCACTAAAAATGTCATTCCAATGGATGATTGTGATTTTTGTTTTTTGTTTTAATATTCTTCCAACTCATCGCCTTTCTCCGCGTTTTAATTTTACTTTTCTTCCATTTTCTTCTTTCCATTCATCATTTTTTTCTTTCTTTTTCTTCTTTTCTCTCCTCTTTCTTTTCTTCTTTTCTCCCCTCTTTCTTTTCTTCTTTTCTATTCTTCGACTTCGCTTAATTTTCTTTTCTTCTTTTTCTTCATTATTCTTCTTGCCTCTTTTTCTTTTTTCTTTACTAAGTTTTTTATGTCGCCTCTTTTCTTTTTCTTCTTTGTCTTTTTCTTCATCATTTTTTCCCTTCATTTTCCTTTTCCATTCTTTCTTTCTTTCTTTCTTTCTTTCTTCTTCAAATAATATTAATTCTGCAGTTGGACTGTAATGTTACTCAAATAATTAACTATTTGATGTCTTAATATCCTAATTCGAAATATTAATCAGATAATTAGAAAACGGTAACTTGTTTTGATTTTAAAAGTAAAAAAAAAAAGTTTTCCAAATCGATGTATTTTTCAATAGACATACTTAATATATAAAATATTGTATATATAATATAAACTTTTAGTATGTCTGATAAAAAGTGAATGACAGATATGAACAAGCTGAGAAAGATTCATATCTAACGAGTTTAATAGATGTTAATATCATCAGATATCAATTGATAAATGTGAACAAATTGAGATATTACAGACGTGAAGATATTGACACAGACAGACAGGACTAAAGACAGATATAAAAATTGGGATTTTTCTTTATATATATATTTATATATATATGAAGACTTTTGTTTATATATATATATATATATATATATATATATATATATATATATATATAAAATTAACTGATTTAAAAATATGGTTCCTTCGCTACGCAGGTAGTAGCACCATGTTTCAAAAAACGAAGCCAAAAACTTCAAATTTAATTATATAATTAAATGAAAAGCATTACTTCTGTTTCGTCTTCAAGCGAATTTTGGAATAACTTATTTTTAAATTTACTGAGTTTTAAACGCACATACAATTCATAATCACTGTTTCGTAGAAATAAAAAATATCGATAAGAACACCGGATTATATATCTTACTGTCCTTTCTTTTTACTATAATATATATATATATATATATATATATATATATATATATATATATATATATATATATATATATATATATATATATATATATATATATATATATATATATATATATATATATGTATGTATGTATATATATATATATATATATATATATATGTATGTATGTATGTATATATATATGTATATATATATATATATCTTTACACACACACACATATAGATAGATAGATAGATAGATAGATAGATAGATAGATAGATAGATAGATAGATAGATAGATAGATGAATAGTCTGAGACAGATATAAATAGGCCGAGATAGAGGGGTATATAGATATGAATAAACTGAGATAGATACTAATTCTGGCTTATTCTTTGTATTCACTTTCGCACTGATGTCCTTGAGAAAGCGACATATTCGTCTCTTCCCCTACCGCTATGAGTTAAATAGCGGGGTAGACTGATCTCTAAGACTTGAATGGTAACAAGTCTAGGAGAAGGAAAACTCAGAATTCCAAACTGCGGAGAAGGAAACGAGTAACCATTCTATTATCCTTCCCAAGAAAG